TATCGGCGTAGGACTATAGCGTGTATTAGTCCTAAGTATAGTTAACCAGTTGAACTCCTGATCCTCAGTCGTTAGGTCCCTTAACACTGAAGGTATCCCTATGAAGGTATATAGGGAACAAGAGGACAAAACTAAAGTACAGTGGCACAACCAGTGCTACTTAAATAGAGTAGAGCAAATAGAGTTTAATAAGTATGAAACACTGAGTTGGATCAGTCAGACAGAACAGTTTTCACTGGGTTGTATCAGTGATGAAGATGAAATGTGATAGAGACGAAACATGATGTAAGTGAAACATGATATAGATGAAACATGATAGATATGAAACACTGATGTAGATAAAACACATCAAGTGATGGAATCAGTTGTATAGTTACAGGGTCAACGACAAATAGTTAGGAAAAGAAAAAGAACCCCCCTCCCGAGGCTGTAACACCAGGGGTCTTGTCTTACAGTATTAGGGGGGCTTACCCTACATGCATATAAGCTAGTAGGTCTGTGCCAGTTAGGGCCAGACTAGTTATATTCATTCACCTGCTTTATCAAAAGTCATCCTCTACAGTAAATCGCTAGCCAACCCTTTATAAGACTATAGTTAGTGAGTCAGATAGTACTAGGGATTGGGTTAGGGTTTAGGATCTAGGAGACAGTCACTGCAGGTCATTGCGTGACATGCTCCATATACACCATTAGCTATCTAAGAATACCAATGTCTGATGTGTGAACAATCTATCTCATGTATGGTCAGTAGTTCTACAGTGATGATCACCTGAATAGCTGTGTATGTTCCTAGTACAAATGGGGAAATCTCTATGTGAACGTATGATTGCCTATTTGCCATGCTTCTGATAAGCTGAACACCTGACTAGTAACATGTCACCATGCATGACACTATCCTTATCTAGGTAGATATCTAATTGGATAAGATGTAGATCATCTAGAACACTTTATGATAAGATAGACACTATGAAATTCTGTGACATCTAGTAAGATATCTAATTGGATAAGATGTAGATCATCTAGATACTGAGATAAGATAGATGCTAAGAAATTCTGTGACACTCGGCCTTAGTTGATTACAAACTCTAGTACAAGTCATCAGTCTAGGACTCAAGCATCATAGTCTTAGGACACCCAGTCAACCCAGTAGAACTCCTGATTGTCAGTTGTTCTGGGTCCCTTAACACTTTGGTGAATATTGATGAATCTTGCAATATGACACCATTCACATTCTCTCCTAGCCTCTATAATGCCCTCTCTCACATTTTTCATTGAATGCAATAATAGGCTCACTATCTCAATCCCAATGGCAGAGCAGTACCATGGTGATAACATTGTATCCTGTGATCCAGGCTACAGAATACACACTGTGCATATCAATGGAATGATGTTCTTGTGATGTATATCACCATCAAAGAAGCCTGGAAGCTCTGCATTGAAGAGGGGCACACCATTCTTGTCCATTAGGAAAATGTACCTTTTACTTTTTTGCTTTTTTTTGCTTTTTGTGCTTTTTATTTTCTTATGTATATTTTTAAGTGGATTTCAGAATACATATGCAACATTGCTTTTTTTTGCTTTTTTTTATTAAAAAAAAAGCACAAAAAAGCAAAAGGTATATTTTTCTTAATGTCAAAGCAATGACCTACCAGTTTATGTCCCATCACAGAGGCATAAACATGTAAACTTAATAGGAGCCAATTAGTTTCTGAATTTCAGTGTCAGCCATCATTCAATATTGGAAGATTCCTTCACATACCACCTCCACCAGGAAGTCAAGGATCAGAAGTGAATGGACAACCTAATCATGCACTTCTGGCAATACCTTGAAGACTGTAGATGATGTTCAGAAGAGAAGAAAGTGGCACTGAAGGCTAAATTGAAGGAAGAGACTATAGGTGCATTCCCCCATACAGAGAAGCTGTCCAAGGGCAAGCTTGGTAATATGTTCAAAGACATCTATGCTGGTGAAGAACTGTAGACAATTGTCAGTGTGTCTCTTTGTCCTAAAGCTACTCCTTCTAATGACATGCCATGGCTATCAGAAGGAGAATATTAGTGGAGCTTGCATGGCTACTCAAGAAGTATAGAAAGACATAGGTTCCATAGAAAACTGAGCTATGAAAGCATGAAGGTGCCAGGGAGGTCATTACTGGTGAGGAGCTCTAAGGCAGGAGAACATATAGCATGTCTATCTTGGTTGTAGATTGTAGAGCATATATAGTAAGGAGCAATTGTGGTCCTCTGGCAAGCTCATGGTTGCAGTTGATAGTCTGAATTCCATCTAGCAAGCACAAGTGTATCAAATAAATGATCTTTTCTTCCAAGGATACCAGTTCCACAGCATGTACTCCATTATGAGTGTCTTAGATGTCAATGTTACCAGTCGAAATGTTGCTGATTTGGTTCAACTCAAGTCTATTTAACTGGTTATACACACAAATACAAGTGGACCATCACAATAGACTTCTAGGGCAATCACAGTTGATTCAAGGCTAGAATAGGCGGCCCGAGCCCTCAGCAAGTGGGCACACAGACACAATAACACATCAAACCCTGATGAGACTTATCTCTTGGTACCAAATGAGGCTTGATCAAAAAAAATCTGCACAAGCTCTCTTGACCGCCTGGGTCAACCTCATCCCTTGCTATAGTGTAACTGCGGCACGACCGACCAGCAAAGCGCCATCGTCCAACTGGGGAGCATCACTAGATCGAAGGCCACCAGGAACCTTGTTTCGAAGAAGCGCATTGTCTATCCAATCGTAGCAGTGGTTGTCGAGAGTCCAGGTTGGTTTCAAACGTTGAACAAGGCTCAAGTTCGCTGGGTCTTGTCGCGGGTGCTCCTCGTACAGGTCCCTGCCCCCAAGGAGATAGGCATAATTTGCTTTGCTGTCGACAACCGCGTATACACTGGGCGAACAGCCCGTGACGTTGATGGCGTAACGCGGATGGCCGATCTCGCTCAAGCCAGGGTCTTCCGTCAACTTCTTACTCCGGAAGCTGCGGAAGTGTCCTTTGTAAGTCTGCAGTTTGGATGGCGATGAGTGGGGGTTAGCCATGGCGGTATCATAGTATTGCCGCTTTGAACTCGCTGTCTCCACTCCCAATTGCATTACCAGAGTAATATAAGGGCGTTTGTCGTCCTTGCTGGGCGGAAAGAAACCATGTTTTCGGTTCAGCTCTGCCTGGTCAATGACCCAAGCATGTTGCGTGTCCCTGTTCCTGACCTGTATAAGCATCGCTGTCATGATGTTCTCTGTGAGCTTCTCGTTTCGAAGGATAATCGGAATGATGATGTCGATGATAGGATTGTTTGAGCTGCATTGCATTGCCATCCCGCGCATAATTGCTGCCCACACTCCATACGTATTGGTGACCGTCTCGTCCTCGTTCCTCGCGAAATGTGTGAACCGCACGTACGCGTCTTCGAATGCCTCTGCGAGCGTTGTCCCTTGAGGTTGATTGTCCGGACGACTGCTCTTGATCGCTTCCATGTGCGTCTTGCCAAAAAGAGCCTCCAAGAAGTCAAGCAAGCGAACAGGCCGGTCAATCCTCTCGTCGTCGTCGTTGCCTTTGTTCGCCCGCGCCTTCTTGGAAGCGGCGTCGAAAGCTTGGATTAGTATCAATCGAGCTACAAGCTCCCCTCTTTCTCCCTTTGAGATAAGGCCATCGCGCACATGCTGACTGAGAATGTCTGAAACTCTCCAGCTCTCTTTCCTCTTCTCTTCCCCTTCTACTTCCTCCTCCTTCCCCGTCCCTTGCCACATTTCCATCACCTGCGCAGCAGCCTCCGCGAGGATAGGCTCAGAAGGATACCCAGAACGCATATACTGCCGATGCTTAGGAACGCTGTAGGCAATACGCATGTGCCCCTCCACCATTCCAGTTTCTAGATGTCTGGCATATTCCCGACGGGGTTCCATGTCCAGTAACAAGCGGGAGCTTAACACTGACAACTGTATCAGCGTTTTCTGGGTCGGATTCCCTGCCTCGACGTAGTAATTGTCGAATCCGGTCAACTTCGAAAGAGCAAAGCTGATCAGCGAGTTGCGGACGTCCAGATTACCTTGTTTGTACAGCGCCAACCACCTGCCAGTGAGGTCGGAGTTCACGTTAGATACCCGTAAACACAGTTAAAACGTACTTACAGGGGGCGTCCAAATCGACAGACAACTGAAAGATCGCAGGCTTCACTAAGTGTGAACTGTCTATCTTTGATGAAAGGTTTATCGTCCTGCAAACAGTCGAAAGGGAGCTCGGTATACGGCGCCTGGAGGTAATCCCGTGCAACTCTGCGCACACGGTCTGATGGATGTTTCTCTTGTGCTGGGGAGAATCCATGCATGCGCGAATTAGTCGACAAGACAATGGCGAATAGTCGAACACCAAGGAAGCAATTCAATGCAGACGTAAGTGCATCAAACCGCGACTTTGACATTCCCCCTTCTGCTGCACTAATTGTGGCGTTTGTCAGAGTGTGGGCTTCATCAAAGTATAAAATCATCGTCGGCGACTGTGACTGATTTCCTACCACATGGATCTTAATCCAGGATACTAGTTCCTCTCCAGCTTTGGAAGCGCGTTTCTCGAGCTGCGTTGTCATCTCGGCGTCTAAGTCACGTACGTTGCCTATTTGCTGCAATATACATAGTCATCCTGAACGTCAAGCACGTCACACACCAAAACGACACGCACCATGGTAGCGACTCGTACAACATCTGCATACAACTCCTCGCGCGTGCATTGACCTTGTGTGTTGCGAGCCAGCTCCCTCCGCCAGGCGAACGCAAGGTCCTGAGCTGTGTCGAACATCTCATCTGGCCATTTATTGTTGAGCCAACTAAGAATCTTCGAGAAGAGCGTCTCGAAAAATACGCAGTAATTGTTGCGCGCATCTTCCCATGTCGCAAAATGCGTATGTATAAGAAAGGCCACAATCGATGTGTCCGAGGGAGGATATGCATAGCCTATAGGACATTAAAATCATGGTAGTAGCGAAAAAGCGTAATGAGTCACCTATGTTCGCAGCCGCGTCACGGACATTGAATGGGATCGTAAAAATTGATTTAGCAAGCTCATCGACCGTCCGAGATTTTCCAGTCCCAGAGCTTTGGACCAGAGGCAGATAGTTGGCATACGATTGGTTCAATCGTACGTGTTCGCTCATGTTGCTGATGGTACGAAGCAACACCTGATGGTAATGACCTTCAAAGGGCAGCCTCCAAGCATGCTCGGTAGCTAGCTAGGAGTTAGTGCACATTCTGCAGGACGCTACAGTGATCGCACACCTAGTTCTAAAAGATATGACTCCGTCAGTCGGTAGCAAAAATACACAACTAAAGCTGGTACTCACTTTCAGAAGCCTTGACATCCTCACTAAACCTCATATTCACCTTCTTGGGTTGAAGTATCCCTATGAACCGTCAATTTATTAAGAGCGAGGCACATGGAAATAATGACACACACTTAGGCGAAGTACTTCAGAGAAATCTTGGGATTTTACTGCATTCGCCAACATGTTCCTGAAGAGCGGACTATTGCACAACGGCTCACACTCGTCCCAAATCTGATATTTCGAGTCAATATTTGCACCTGCCGATATCATAGCCTGTAGGACAATACGAGCGACTGATGCGATTGTGGGAATCAACTGCCAGAGCTCTTGTGGACAGTGTGCCGGAAGAGTAGTCATGATAGCAGCGTTTAGTGTGGCGCGATAGCCATTAGAGAGTTTATCATTCGATACTGGCCTAAGGTCTAGCTGTGCCTGAGACTCAGCCATGAGCGTTGGTGGACTCGGTTTTCAGTATTTGAATGCAGAAAAGATCTAGGGCCATCTGTCGTATGTATTTAAAATTGGCACAGTTCAAAATCGACAACATCACATGACCCACCATGGGGAGCGGCAG